TACTCCCTCCGTTTTTTATTAAATGTCGTTTTGACTTTTTTGATTCATCCATTTTGCTACGTATCTAGACATTAAATATGTCTAGATACGTAACAAAATGGATGAATCAAAAAAGTCAAAACGACATTTAATAAAAAACGGAGGGAGTATATATGTATATTTAATAAAAATATTTTTTATTTATTTATTTTAAATAAATTTTTACTACTTATTTGAATGTGTTAAATTTTTTATTCATATGATACCATTTTAATATTAAAAAATTAAAAAATAAAATTATAATACATCAATAAATAAAGGCACAAAATTATTTAACAAAAAAAATTATTGCACAAAGTTATTTAGCATAAAAATACATTTATTAATACACATTATGCAAAAATTTATCATTAATATTGCATAACAAAAAACCAAAAAAAAAAAAGAAAATGTGGCGCTCGCTACGCTACAATTGGAGCAACATTGTTCCTATATCTGATGTAGCTTCCTATATCTGATGTAGCACAATTTTTGAGCGCAGTGTTGGAGCAAAAATTTCACACAACTCCTGCTTTTTGCTCTAGAGTATTGCAGGGCTGGAGAGGCTCTTACTCTTTTAACAACTCTCCTACCAACTTTAACCAATTTTATGCATGAACCAAAAGTTAACCAATTCAATTGTGATTTATAGACACTCGGGCAAGCGAAGTCACCGGCGTCATTGAACAGGCATTTTGACCCGTGAAATCATTTTCGATTATTTGGCAGTGTAGGGATACATGACAGTAGAAATCGAATGGCCAAATATGATGGTTTTTTTGTTAGAAAACCTAGTGAAATCAATCCAATGGTCAAATATGATGTCTTCTGTTAGAAAACCTAGTGAAATCAATCTAATGGTCAAATATGATGTTTTTGTTAGAAAACCTAGTGAAATAAATGTAATGGTCAAATATGATGTCTGTTAGAAAACCTGGTGAAATATGGACATAGTGAATTTGGACAAGCCATGACCGGGTAGTTGGGTAAATAGCTTTCTTTTGAAGGGACCATTGACTAAAAATTGTAGACCATATCAAAACATGGCCATTTATGTAATTTGCATGCACAAGTGAAATCATCAAGTACCCAAAGACCTATAGTTCAGATTTCAAAATCGGAATCAAGTGAAAGCACAACCATCAATCAAGATTAAGACAGGTTCAATCCTACCCTCGATGAGGCAAGTAGGATGAAATTTTTCGAAGATTAGTAGCCAAAAAAAGTAGTCAAATCAATTAATCGGCACACGACAAAAAAACATGAGTATTTTTAATTGTACACGAAAGATCATCAAAGTGACAATTTGTAGTTGTTCAACATTACTCTATATAAAGCAAAGGTCGAGCAAAAACAGCAAAAAACTATTGTCCCACTAACTCATAACTGCAATCAGCATAATAGCAATTGTACTGGAATGGGAAATTTCGCAGTAATTTAAGCGCCCCCTGCACTCTTTCCTTTCTTCCTCTGAAGTTTCTTCATGTAAAATTCCAATTCCTTACCCTCTAGAATATAACTGTAACCAAAATAGAAAACATAACCGACGACATCAAACACAAAGACTAATACGAAAGAAAGGTGAGATTACTACTGCTATATATAGCCTATAGTGCTTTCTATAACTAAAAACTGACAGTACATTACATTGATTGACTGAGCCATCGTTACTAGATGCAACAAGCCAAGCACTATTTTCAGTTTCTCACACAAAAGATTTAAAAACTGGCTGTCAAAACAAAGCCAAGCATTATTTATCAGCAATGACTAATTTGAAATCTCCTTGGAATAAAACTGGCAGACTAATATAAGCACATTGATTATCAGAAAAAAGCATGAAACACATTCACTATCACCCAATAAGATTAGAGTTCATCACACAAGAGTTAACAGGAAAATGCTGATAAAAAATACATACCCATCAGCACGCCCACACTGGCCAGGGCGTGAGGAGATTGCCGCCAGCAAACGGCCGCCACCAAATTGCTCCTCAATATGGGGATCGATTTTACGATCCTGTTGGCGTTTTTCGAGTTTCCTTTGGACATGGTTGCTCTTCTTTACCTCTTCAGTAGCAGCAGCCTCATTCTCCTAAAAGCCAAGATATAATTAACAAAGCTACTTTACATCTTATCAATAATTAAGAGTCTAAAAAACTGAAATAGCAAATGATAAATGAAACTAAATCATGAATAATTGTCCTGAGAATTGTCTAAATAGGTCATTATATCCAGAGCTTTCTAAGGGAGTGCTTTGTTAATGGGTTTAACTATAAGGATAAGAAATGATAATGATTATCAAAAGTTGGTGGTTGTTCACTAATATCACTTAGATAGTTTGATTGCCCAATTATGACTAATAATCCAACCACTCATAATCAAATCCATTACCCTCAACCTCTACGCCAATATACACAGTCATTCCCTTGTTTATGCCAAGCACCCCTCATCAAGTTCACCAATGAGCAAATATTTCTATCTCTATACAAATACAACCCAAATCCTAGCAAAATAACGGTCATGGAACTCTAGTGTCAATGATCCAAAAGAACATTCTCAATCCACAAATGGCAGTAAAAATAATAATAATAATAAAGATCTAACCAAATATCAAATTGCAGAAAGAAGTGCACAAAATCAGTCGTTACCTCTCCTTCCTTCTTGGCAACAGCTTTCTTCTTACGACCAATGTCCACTCCATAATGCTGAAGGTACCACTGCTTGAAAGGCGCAGCATCGACTTGAATAATGGCACCCTTCACCAAAGTCTGGGTCCTAACCAGCTCGTTATTGGACGCATTATAAACAACGTCCAGAATACGAGTCTTTCGGGTCACGGCTTCACTTCCCCACGAGTAGTTACCTGTGTCGAGCCTTAGGGCACGCCACTTGACATTACCTCCACGGACCCTAACCCTGCGAACAGTCTTGTTGCTAGACAACTTTGTGTTTGCCGGTTGTCTTCCGAGCTCATACCTAAGAAAAAAAAGCACAAACTAGAATGAACCAATTGAATTCCAAACGGAGGAAAATTGGTGGACAGCACCAATATGTTGCACAATACAGAGTACAATCAAATTATGATCCAAGGTATTCAATAAAGAGGGTTCACATTTGTAGATGGCTAAGTGTGCTTCACAACAGCAAGGGATTGAGGAAAAATAGCTGAAATTTTGAGGAATGAGCAAGCAAACACAAATCCATTCCCCGCTTTTTTTTTTTCTTTATTTTCGTGTATTTGCACAAACACAACAATAGCAATGTGGCATGTGCTACCATTTACAGATCATACTACAAGAAAATTCACCCAACAAAAAAGCTCATCAGAAATTAAATCACTCAGATGAATGACAGATTTCAAACAAAACAAAACACAGAAAAATGAAGATTGGCTTATCTTACTTTCTCTTCTTCCTCCAAGCCTTCTTCTTTCCTCCAGTCGCACGCCTCTTGTGCATGGAATCCCGAGAAATACCTGAGAACAAACGCCATTTTCGTCACACTCTCTCCTCTCTCTCTGAAATTAGCTCTGAGAGGTCTGTAAATGAAATAAGAGTACAAAACGAAAGCATGAAAACTGATGATTTACCCATGGTAGCGGAGGGTTCTTGTGATCTGAGTAATCTCCGGCTAAGTGTTGCTCAGCAGCTAAACTGATAAAACGATGGACCTGAGCGACTTTATCAGTATTATGCTGATTGCTGAAAACCCTAGATCAGTAAATTACAAATCTACCCTCAACAATCAAAGTTTCATATAATCCATTTTCAATTTCATTTTGTAGTAAATATCACATAATTCACCAATTATTCTTCAACCAAAAATATATTCTCAAACTCAAAATACATAATTGAAATATTCCATGACACAATATTTTGAGTTATATGTAGCACCCAACATATTTGTATTATAATTTATGAACTTGTTATGATTATTATTATTATTATTAATATTATTTTACATTATTTCAAATGTATAAAAAATTTGGTATCTAGCCAAATGAATAAATATAAACTTTTAAAAAGTGTTTTGGATATAATGCATCTATACAAATTATTTTGTAATGCATATGATCTAAAATCCAAGAATAATATTTAAGTATTTTGAAGTATAACTTTTAGACTCAAACAATTTTACCCAATATATATTTGTAGAAGAATATAATTATGAATTATATACTTAACATATTATTTTCAATTTATATTTATTTTAACTTTTAGACTCAAATAGTTTTACCCAATATATATTTGCAGAAGAATATACTTATGAATTATATAATTAATATATTATTTTAATTATATATTCTCCATTGGAGAATATATAATTAATATATTATTTTAACCCTTGTCAATTTTATCTGTTTTATACAACACCCAACACCCCGTTACTTTGTCGGCCAAGCCCTACATGAAGGCGAATTGATATACTCTCCGATGGAGAAACTATCCTACACGCTGATAATGTTCTCATGAAAACTCCGTCCATATTTCTTCGAACACCCCATCGTGGTTTGACAAATTATCCCATGTGGAAAATATTGCACCGACTAGATACACTCGGTCGAATGATCAAATGGGCCATCGAGTTAGCCTAGTTCGACGTCACCTTTCAGTTTCGCAATCCTATCAAGGGGCAAGCCTTGGCTGATTTCATTCTCGAATTTACCCCTACAATCCATTGCGTTCTCGATGACGAATTATGGGTCCTCTACATCGACGACTCATCTACGCTCGCACGTGCGCGGACCAGAGTAGTACTCATGAGTCCCAAAAAGAAGTTATCTTGATATGCGATAAGGTTCCATTTCCATTCTACCAATAATGAGGTCGGGTACAAAACCTTGATTGTCGGGTAAGAAAAGGCCCAATCCATGGACCCAAAGAAACTGGAAGGTTTTATAGATTTAATGCTTGTGGTTAACCATGTGAACAGAGAATTTGAGGCAAAGAAAACCCCACCTACTCCCTTATCTCGAATTAACCAAGAAAAAATTGACTTTCTTCCAGGCAACTATAGTCCATATCCCTCAGAGTGAAAACGCTTAGGCCGACGCTGGCTCTCCTAGCGTCAACCACGTGGGACGATCAAGTGGAATACGTAGTAATCAGACATCATGTCAAGTCGGCCCTCGAAATCATGGCAACGAAAAGTGCGCCCTTTACTACCCTTGCAAATTGGATGACCCCAATTTCACTGCGTCGCGACGCAACAAATTTGAATTTATTTTTCATCAATTAACCTCCACTAATTAGTCGAACCAACGAGTAAAGGTCGCTTCCACTAGGAGTGTGAATCAAATTGTGATTATTCATATTATCCGAAATTGTAAAAGCAATAAAAGAGTAGGTGATTGTGATTTAGTAACTAAACTAACTAAAATCTTAATGAAATAAATAAAATTTAAATAAAAAAATAAAAATAGAATAGAATAAAATAAGAAAAATCTCTAACTTACAGTTAGTCCAAATTCTCGCTCGACTAGTCTAATCAATTGTGACGTCAAATTTCTCTATATTTCATAATTGCTAGTCTTTGGTAACAACACTTTCTGGTATTCGAAATTGTCCTATAATTTTTAGCCGAAACGTGTTCTTTGATTAAACCTAACTAATGGACAATCTACAAAACGTTGTTTAGATTTATAACATAGAATATAAATTTTATAGTGAGAAAAAATAAAATTCTATGATTAATTTTGTATTTGGGTTGCCAACAACAAAACGAAACAATTGAAGGGCGAAAAAGAATGACCGAACCACCGGTAGCCAAGAGGCCCAAGACAAAAGAATGAAAACGAATCGATTGAAAACTGCCACTTAACTTCGCTTGCAAGCTCGTATGAAAGCATCAGGAGATCAATTGGGTTTTACGTTCCGTGATTATGATCTTCACTGAGATCGTTTTCCCCTTTCCCCCTTCTACAGTTTCACGCGCCACATCTGCTAGTGTTCTGTGATCGTCACCAACCGCAATGCTCCACGCCCCCTAATGAAAAACCGGCCAAAGCTCAGATCGCCGCCGCTCGCCGCTGCATCTTTCCCTTCTCCGCCCCCATCGCCGCCGCCCCACAACAGCACTAAAGCAATCGCTTTGAAGATGCCCCGCAAAACCCTCCTGAGACCCACCATCGCCGTCGCTTTCCTCCTGGCCCTCCTAACCCTATACTCCTTCCTCTTCTACAACCCTCCCAGTTACACCACGAACGCCTCAGTTCACTTAGGCGACAATCACAGATTTTCTTCTCCCGACGATGATGATAGTAACAATCGGAAGGTGAGGGTGTATATGTACGATTTGCCGAGGAGATTCACTTACGGAGTGATCGAGAGCTACGCGGCGGCGCGTGGGGGCCAGGCTGTGGGGGACGACTCGCAGCTCAAGTACCCTGGGAATCAGCACTCCGCCGAGTGGTACTTATTCTCCGACTTGAATCGTCCTGTTGGGGAGCGGGTTGGGTCGGCCGTGACTCGGGTCATGAACCCTGAAGAAGCTGAACTTTTCTACGTGCCCTTTTTCTCTTCATTGAGTCTCGTGGTGAATCCGATCCGGCCCGTTTCGAATTTCTCCCATGAGGGCACTGTTTACAATGATGAGCAAACCCAGGTAAAATATGTGCCAATTATTCACTGCTGATGAATTCTTCTTCTATAATTGATGATTGGAAGATTTTGTGTATATAGCTAAAAGCTAAAGGTGTTTTTGCAAGCCTTGTAGTTTGGCGGCGTTATAGTCAGTAAAGGAACATCTTTTAGATCATATTAGAGATGTGATGTCATATATGCTTGTAAACAATTGTTTTCACTGATCATATAGGAAGATTTGATGGAATGGCTGGAAGAACAAGTGTATTGGAAGAGGAATAATGGGTGGGATCATGTTTTTATATGTCAAGATCCAAATGCGCTGTATAAAGTCATTGATAGAGTGAAGAATGGGGTGCTATTAGTTTCTGATTTTGGGAGGTTAGCCAGTAATCAGGCATCCTTAGTGAAGGACGTGATTTTGCCTTATTCGCATCGGATTAATACATATAAGGGTGATGTTGGATTGGAGAATCGCAAGTCTTTGCTCTTCTTTATGGGAAATCGGTACCGGAAAGAGGTAAAAAATCTGCTCTACTTTCTCATATTATATGCCTTACCCACTTAGAAAGATTGTTATTTACCTTCCGTATGCAGGGTGGTAAAATTCGGGATTTGCTTTTCCAAGTGCTTGAGAATGAAAATGATGTCATTATCAAACATGGCGCTCAGTCTCGAGAGAGTCGTCGAGCGGCAACACAAGGAATGCACACGTCGAGATTTTGTTTGCATCCAGCTGGCGATACTCCATCAGCTTGTCGACTTTTTGATGCTATTGTGAGTTTATGTGTTCCGGTTATAGTGAGTGACTACATTGAGTTGCCTTTTGAAGATGTCATAGACTACCGAAAGATTGCCATCTTCGTCGATACTAACACTGCCATTAAACCGAGATATTTGGTAGAATTGCTCAGAAGTGTGAGTCCAGAGAAGATAATGGAATTCCAGAATGAATTGAAAAAGGTGTGTATTTGCTCCTATATTCATTATGCCCATTGCTTTCTTTTTTTTCCCCCATTCCATCTGTCGATTTTAGAAGCCAAGAAAAATAATTTCCCTTCTTCTGTTTTTATGCTAATCTTGTGCTTGAATTGTCTGGTGATAAGTGTATTAATGGTCATGGGGAGAGGAGTGATTTTTTTGGGAAGAAAAATTGATTGGGACTTCGAATAGAACAAGAAGTTAACACTATTGAAGTGTAACTTAGTAAAATGAGAAAATATTCATGTGATGCGCATAAATTGTTAAATACATCGATAAATGACTTTCTTAATTTGTGTTAATTTTGTTTATGTATTTATGCATTTAGGTGGTGAGATACTTTGAATACGAGGATCCAAATGGGACAGTGAAAGAAATATGGCGCCAAGTTGCTTCAAAGCTGCCTCTTATTAAACTTATGAGTAACCGTGATAAGCGCATTGTGGTTCGGGAGTTAGCCGAACAAGACTGTTCTTGCCTCTGCTCGAATCAGTCTGGTCTACACACGACCCTCTGAATGATGCTCCGTTGAATTAATATTTTATTTTTCGATTTGCAGGAATATCTGTTTATGCCATTGCCATTCATTCCTTCACCAGCAGCAAATTGCAAATCGAACATTACAATAAGGATGCCATTCGGAGTATAGTCCCTCGTGTTTCTTATGTTTAGCAACTCGTTGAACTTGTTTATATTTAAAAGTTGGCTGCTTTGTGCCACTGGAGATGATTATTGATTAGCAATTTAGCATATATGTATGTATATATACATCACTGTAATTACTTTTCAAGACTTCACTGAGGAATCTGAAATGTGGGATCATTAAATTTATTTTTCAATCTTTCCCTATTTAGAATAGAGTAACTAGATGCTGAAAATTCTACAATTATGAGAAGACTGGAAATTTTTCTGCAAATTTATTAACTTGTAAGTATGATCAGACATCATCTCCAAAGAGTGAAATTTGTTACAAAAAAACAAGTCCTATGAGTAAATGACTTCCAGAAAATCTGCAATGAGGACCCGAAGAAATGAAAAATCTTCGTTTTTTTAAGCTGTATCTTAACCTGGAGGCCATTTCATCTGCCTCCCTCCAAGTACATGTAAGTGAAGATGGTAAACAGATTGACCTACAGAGTGAAAATAGAATGATTAAATTCGAACAAAAAGGATTCGGTATTTTTGTAGTTTTAGTCAATAGATCGATGCAAGAGCATTATGAATTCGAATTTATACTCGTATTACACTGAGAGAGAGAGAGAGAGAGAAAGAGAGAGAGAGAGAGACTTACAAGCAGAAGGGCCACTGTTAATGACAACACGAAAACCATCAACAATGCCTTCTTTCTCTGCAACTATTTTAGCAGCATAAAGAAGGTGACCCAGTATTTCTTCATGTTTCTTTTCAGCCTATAAAAACAAAGATGAAGAAGAACTTATGAAAACGTTACGCTATACGTATGGTAAATGCAGATTAGTTACGCAAATAAACCTTATTCACATAAGAAAAGCATAGAAAGAAAAAAAAATAAAAAAGACTACCTTGCCAAGCTGGGTTAAACCGTCTCGTAGCTTTGGAATGACAAGAACATGAACTGGAGCCTGTGCATTAATATCTCGAAAAGCCAGAACATCTTCATCCTCGTACACAATAGTCGAAGGAATTTCCTTTGAGATAATCTTGTCAAATCTAGAAAATAATAATAATAATAATAATAATAATAATAATAATAATAATAATATTATTAGCATAAGACTGTGCTCTAACTACCCATTCAAACTTTGACATGATAAGTTGATAAAGACACTAAGAGTTGAATCTTTCCAATTGGCCAGTTAAGGAAATTGTTTTTCTTATTCTTTTATATTATCCCCTCTATTAAAAGCTAAGAAGAGAAGTAGGGAGAGAAACCGGGATGAAATTTCTTAGAAGCGATATAATGTTTTTTAGATAAATTCTCTAAAAACAATTCAAACCAATATTACACAAGAAACCTTTTAGTTCATAATGAGCATTGTCTTTCAGCCTTATATTGTATGTATGCAGAGCAAATCAGGAAAAAGAACTAGGATAATTATAAAATATTAGAAAAAGGAAAAAAGAAGAAGCAAGCTGAAGACAGAAATCTAAATAAGGAAAATATAATGCAGGGATTAAACCAATCTCACGTGAAGCTACTCCGCACTGCTGAAAGTTTGTACAGATTGTGTATTGAATATTTGAATTAGCTTGGAAATTCTTAATGGAAATGCAGATCACTAAAAAATGATTCTATCAGAAGGTTTAGAGGTACAAACATTGTTGGTGCCCCGCCATCGGCATTGACTGCAGCAGCTTTAGCAGAAGCCTCTTCATCACTTGTAGCACTTACAGATGACAAAACTCTGAAAGAAAAAAAATATATATATATATATATATATGTGTGTGTGTGTGTGTGTGTGTTTGTGTGTGTGCGAAACATGTACATAATGAAACAAAAAGTCCAAGATGATACACAAAAGGCCGAACAATGCAAAAACACTTACAGGAATGAACATCACAAATAATACCTGTTGTTTTCAAATGTCAAGATATATACTTTATTGCTGTAAGAACTCAATTCTAGCTCAAAATAAAAATGCCCAGAACATAAAGTGCTACCTTGCTTAAGCTAAACAAAACAAATGCCAAGATATATACTTTATTGTTCTAAGAACTCAATTCTCGCTAAAAGTATTTATCTAAAACAAATGCCCAGAACACCATCTGTATTCATGCCTAAGCAAAACAAATTCAAATGCCAAGATTTACACCTTCTTGTGCAAAGAACTCAATTCTAGCTCAAATTATTTATCTAAAAAATAAAGCCCAGAACATAATCTGTTATCATGAGTAAGCTAAACAAAACATCTCCTGCATTAAGGGGACTATTTTAACCATTGACAATTAGTCCAAAAAAATGCTGATTCTTGAGAAATAACATTAATGTTTAGGCAAACAGATAAGCAATGTTTTAACGAGTAAAAATGGAAAGGCGTTTTTTGGACAACAAAAAAATAAAGGGCACAACACATGAAGCAGGAAGTACAATTTAACCTGACTATCTACCTGCGGAGTAAAAGCGGGCGACGAGCGAAAGGCGAAAGTGAAATCCTGGGCGTTTGATTTGAAGCTTTGATGAAGTTGAAGGCTCGTACAGATAACGGGCCACTGTTTGAGAACAATTTGAATTCAGAAAAATTATACAGAAAAATATTCAGGAAGAGAATCACAAAAAGGGAAGACAAAAGAAAGAGAGAGAATTACCGGAAGAGAGCGATGGAGTTCATCGCTGCCATCAATCAATAGAGTTTATGCTATTGCTAGCAACTGCAACTCTGCAACCCTGTTCAGTTCTTAAATCAATTTTCTCGGATATTTTTTTTTTCCATATATATTTAACTCATTGGACTCAAATTTAATTTAACTTAACTCTTCTCAATATTACTAATATAATTAAATAATAAAAATCAGTTATTATATTTTTCTAACTATTCATCTACTAATATTTTTATTTTAACTATCAATCATTTTCAAATTATTAGTTAACTATTTTTATATCATCAAATTTAATCGTTACGTTTCTACTCATAAAAATCCAAATTTCCACTCAATTAATGTTTTACAATCTTAACTCAATTTATTCAATAAATTAAATCAAATCCAAAAGAATTTACTTCCAATTGCAACTTCTTGTTAAATGAAACGGACAACTCTTAAGCTTATTTAAAAATAAATAATTAAGGAAACAATTCATAATTTCATAAAAAAAAAAAACTTATTATCAAATGAGACAAACAAAAATAACTAATATACGGGATGTGTCAATAGAAAGCTGATGCATTTCTTTATCAATAAAAGCACTTTTCTTTTGAAACAAGGACTCCATGTAATACCATATGAGCCCTAACAAATGCAACTCTAAAATATCCTATTTAAAAGAACGGTTAATCTTTGTGTTAAGCCTACATACCATTTTTCCAAGTTTATATACTTCCATTATAAAATAGCATACTTAACATAAACAAAGTATAATGTTTAATAATATAAATATACATTTTTATTTAGTTCAAATAGTATAACGGGTCGACCTGTCTGACCGTTAGACTTGGTGTTATACCAAGAAATTATTTCTTTCCATTTATAGACAACGGGCAAGCATGTAATACTCAGCAGCACAAGATCCAACAGTTTTATGAGTCAAATACCAATATATATACACATCATCATATCTCCATTAACTCCTTCAACCACAGGCAAATTCTATATACACAGGCACCCCATATCCTTACATATATATACAAACCCACACATCATTAGAAATTTACTGATATCTACTCACGCGCTTGCCGAGATGGAAACTGCACTAAGCTCGACGTGCTTTTTACCATCTTTTTCTGGTTCGTCAATAACGAGAGTAGCATGAGCCTCTTCCTGCACCGACCCACCCACACGAGCCACATCAATGGTACCCACAAGAGGCTGCTTTTCGTTTTCCGGGTCAACGTCCCCAATAATTTCCCATTCCTCCTTAATTTTCGTAACTTGCAAACCGTCATTTGTCTTGAAGGCCTCCAAGTCAAAGGCAGTCGGTAGAATGACATAATCATTCAAAGGGTTGTAGAAAGGATCGTGATCGGCTTTCAGCCAATGCTTCAGAATTCTGAAAACGTGTAGGTCGCATAGGATGCCCCTGTGGTCTCCCGGGACTCCCACCCGAGCCTCTGCACGAAGCCCATCTGCCTATGTTACGGAAAAATAAACATTAGTCAGCTAAAAGTTCTTGCTAAGGACTCAGTTTATTCACGCTCGCTCATATCAGGAAATGGATATTCTTGATCGAATGAGTATAAAGTGCAAACTTTGTAGTTCTAATATTATTGATTTTTTAGGGCGTGCTTGGATATAAAAATTTCCACTCAAAATGAATTTTTTTGGTTAACTGGGGTTAATTTGAAAAAAAAAAAAAAAAAAAAAAAAGTGATATGGTTAGTTGTTAGTGGAATTCTGAGTTTATATTAAATTAATATTTAAAATAAGATAATTAAAGTTGATTTGATGTAGAGGTAGGAGAGAGATGATGTGAAATGATGGTTAATTAAAATTATATGAGTGGATTAATAGTGAATTTAATGTAATGTGTAAGAATGATTGAGTGGTATCATTTAATTATATTGATTATATTGAGGATAGTGGGATTAAGTTAAAGTTGAGTTAGATTTGAGTTAAAAAAAGCGATTGGTTAAAAATGATTGGATTTTTTTTGAAAAAGTATCCAAGAATTTTCTTTCATCGGCTTTTAGCTTGGGCGGGAGATTATATTACAAAGAGAAGTTCGTGTTCTTGGAGAAACTCATGCGCTTTTCTTAGTTTCTGAACAAATAGCCGAAAGCCGGTAAGGCTCATTTAATTGTTAATAATTTCAACCAAAACCAAAAATCCAAACCAAAACATTATAAGTGAAAACGAAATTATTAACTTACTTTGGCAGATTCCACTGGAACAGTGCCATCACCATCGACATTTATGTACTTGGCCTGAAAAGTTGCAACATTTGGGTATCATTTTTTGAATCAAATATGTAGTTGCAACAAGCATATTGAATATGGTGTATATGGGAATCTGTTGATGTAAAAGTAAAATACAAGAAATTCACTTAAAAAAGCTTTCTTGGAATATTGGCTTTAAGCTGATGTACAGAATTACCAGAAGAGTGGGCAATTCACGCAAATCCGAGACTGGGGCATTTTCACTTCCATAACTGCATAATAGTGCCTTGTAAGATTACCGTTGGATTTTCACATCTAGTATGTCTAAAACATTCAGAAATATAATTCAGAAATGTATTCGGATTTCCAAAGAGTTCAATACCAAACAGTATGAGGTGTCTCATAGTTTGTGCCGTAAATGTTATAGAATTTAATTTGACCGGGAACCTCTGCAGAGCTCAACAACTTGCGAGTCTCGTTAGCCCATTTTAGAATCTCCACGTTGAATGGAACTGATATATCTGAACCATCAAACTTGATCTGTACAGAGGCCAATAAATGACGTGTTATTCTTAAAAAACGAAGAAATTAGTATATTAACAGTTGTATTTCACCTTGTTGATCGAAAGTGCTTCCATAAAGATCGGTATAGCTTCTGCAGGCGAGTAAGACTCCAACATCACGGTGGGACTGTCATCACTATTGTGTCTTTGCCTCCATATTTCAAGAAGTGGAACATGTTCCCATTTAAAATCTAAACATGCCATCAATTCATATATTGACGGGCATTCAAGTAGCTGGAACATAGAATATGTGCATGTTAGCATTTAATGCGATAACAAAATAAATAAAAAAAACTAAAGCACCTAATCGAGAATAAAGTCACTCCTTCACATTTTTGGATTGACGTAACAGACTAATTGTGTGTAAAATCATAGATAATTTTTTTTTTTCATTTTGTCATGCAGAGAAAAGATGTTTACGAATGAGCCGGGTGTACAATAAACAATACACTTTCTCATAGATAAGCAAATAACTTCATACCAATTGTTGCATACTCCATTTTGAAATAAAAAAATTCTGCTCCCACCCTTCAACAAATGATGTTCCATTCAAAAATGCGGAGGTTATATATCCAGGTGCGCCTGTTATAGAGCAGTAAACAAAGAAATTATACATATATGTTAAATCCAGAGTTACCAAAATCATTTAACCAGGTCAGTGAATATAAGGGGTTGGAATATTCATTCTTCAGCTTCGAAGTAACGAAGCTGAATACAAATTAAACAAGGCAAAGCAACATCTAAATGCATTGAGAACAATTATGCTTGATATTGGGATCAGCTGATATGTATAGTTTCATTACTGTATAGACCTATAAGAGACAAACAGGAGCATGGAAAGTTGGGAGTACAAGTTCAAGTAAAAATATCTTGGCAAACATAACACAGCAATGGTAAATACAATACACTATCACTTTTAAGTGATAGAAAACTTCTAAGATTGTTACAAGCATCACGATTCATTTTCAAGCACTTTTACCAAAGCAGCTGATATTAATGCAGAAATGTAATAATTCAAAGTCACGTACCTCGAAAGGGAGCTGCAATAGCAATCCAATTTTTTACATACTTCTCAAATTTCTAAGGAAAAAAAGAAAGGATAGTTACTAAGGCAATCCAAGACAAACACTTGAAAAAGAAAACCTGAGGCTAGAGAATATTGAAACGAAAAAATGAAGCAAATTTGAGGAGAGTTTGAGTATTACATCACTATGCAGGCTCATGAAACATTTAGTCAAAAGACCACCCATAGAATGACTTATTAAGTTTATTTTTCTACCCCCAGAGGCAGTATAAACTGATTCGAGTTTTGATGCGAAGCGATCCAGTGTTTCCTGAAATCTAGAAACAAGGAATGGAATAGGTANTTCCACACACAAAAAGGTCTAAGTCGTAAACTAAAATTTATTGCATCTATACGCAGTTATGTCAATGCCAGCAAGACTACCATAAGCAACTCCTATTAGAAAACAATAAATTTTGACTCACATACCTCTCCTTCCTGTACCAACTCAAAAACAAGGATCACAAAATTACTAACTCTAAAGAGCTACAAACCTAAGGGTTCATGCCAAGCTGACTTCAAAATAGAAAGAGACCAGCGTAAAGTAAAAGATATTACTATTACATGGCTACAAAAAAAGATAGGTGTATGCCAGCAATGCATTCTACAATCTTACAAACTTACTATCACTATGTCAGTAGCATTATGGTCAAGTTAGAAATACATTTGACAGTGAGTTTCGCACTTACCGGTTGCTTTGGCGGAAATCATATCCGAACCCAAAAAGTGTTGTTCCCTCTTTATAGCCCCAGCTGATTAATTCAGCTATCATGTCGTGAAAATAATATACACAATCACCACCAATCACCTGCAAAAGAATTCAGGAAAGGATTTAAGGCCAACTATAAAATATAGTGGTGCATAGAAATTATGACAAAATAACTAGTAATTAAACAACACTCACCATGTCAGGGTCCAACATATCAATTGCATACAGACCATATCTGTCTTGAGGAACCTCAATATGTGTGTCATCATCTAAGGTCACAGTTTTACCTGTTATCCGCATTTTGTTAGCAAAACAGATACAACTAGCAGCAGAAGGTGAAAATAAAAGGGAGAATAACAATAGCGTAGTGATTACTGGATGATATATATATATATATATATCAACCTCATTAAGCTTATGATAATTTTTTGTCCTCATTTTGTCACACCATCCCACAGTGCATACATATTGTTCCTTTGCAATAGATTAGAATGTGAAGAACAAACTACTTAAATAAAAACCCAGAAACAAGAAAACAATCAGCCAAAGAAAGACCCGAACTTGGACGCGAGAGGAGTTGTAAAAGTTCGGAATACGACCTGTGGCAGGATCGAAGCGAGACCAGAGCTTGTCCCGGAACTCGTGATCGGCCGCAAGGATACGGACCCAAACCCTCTCAGTCTTACCGGTTTTATCGTTGACCGCATTCAGAATCGAACCGGCGATGCCCGGCACGAGGAGGACGGGGTCGAGCGTGGGGTCGACGAACGATTGTTCCTCGCTTTTCTTGCCGATCAGCTTCAACAGCTGCTCCACGGACTTCACAATGTCCTCTAACAGCACCGCCATATCCGGGTCAACTCAATTTTCGATCCGATTCCCTGAAAAAAATTGGAAGCGTGGAAAATTCCTGAACACGATGTCGAATCGCAACGGGTCCTTTCAGAAATTCTTGGTAATTTGGATGCGTGCAGAAACTCTTCAGGCGAGAGCGATTGCTCAGAGGGGATGACGGTTGTTTGTGGCGGAGATGGTGGTGGTGGTCAACGGTGGCGGCAGTGTGAAGCCGTGACGGGTAAAGGGTCGGAAAAAATCGCCGGTAAGATAAGGTACCAATAATTTAGAGCACACTTGATAACAAAATACCAAAGGTTACGTGTGTGGTCTTTCTTCAAATGGTCTCATGGTGGGCCTTAATTTACCATAACTTTCAGCAATTTATGAAGTCAAAACTACGGCCCAATAGAGCCTTCCCAAATTAGGCCCAAAAGTACTCCCATCACCGGAAAACAACCGTTATCCTATCCATCACTCGTCTCAGCCGGCAACTAGTGGTGCAGACTATGGCTCTTCAATTCCAACCCAAAGCTTACAGTTCGCGCTCGCCGACCCGTTTTTCTCTTCCCCAATTCACCGCCAGAACCACCACTCATTCACCGCCGCCGCCGACTAGAAGAGCAGCTCTTTCGCTCTTCACAATCTCCACTTTTTTGTCCGGATTTGCAGCATTCTTCGACGGCCGCAGCTCAAGGTTTGCAGCTCGGTCCGAACCCAGAACTTCGGATTTCACGGAGCTCCCAAATTCCGGTGGTGTCAAAGCTTTGGACCTTCGGATTGGTGATGGCGAACAGATTCCCTCCGACGGGGACAAGGTTTGTACACCATTTTTAATTTTTCCTTTTTTTTTCATTTTTTTCTTTTATAATTTGCATCTCTTAAGGCTTCCGAGTAGCTAATGTTGATTTTTAATTTTAATTTGTGGGAAAAAAAAAAGGTTGTGATCCATTACTATGGAAGACAATATCAATGCGTGTGTGCTTGCTTGATGAAATCCCTCTTTACATGAAGTTCCTGCAATTTTCTTTTTTTAAGTTCTGTTTTGCCTCATAGACTATAATCTGGCTAGAAAGTCGTCCGAAATTCGACCACAGGTGATGAGTTTGATGTTTATTCTGATGGTATTTCGGGTTGAGGATTGTTGTTTTGGCAAAGGTTAGCTACTTTTTTTGTTGTGGAGCTTCTGTTTGATACAGAGAACTTTTGTACGGTGTTCATCTTTGGACATAAGTTTAGCCTATTGCTCAGTAAAAACGATAATCTTACTATCAAAAGTATGAGGGAAATGATGATTTTAATTTTATCCTTTGGAGGCTCATGTGAGAGTAATGTGGCAACTTTCCGACAAGTTTCTGGCCGGTATTTTTGCAACTTTTGCATATTTTGGGAGGGAACTCTATCAAGTTTTATTAGAGAAGGTGATAAAAAAAAAAGGCTAACTTTGGAGTTTTCATTCGAGTGAAATAATAGCATACCCTTTGTGTGGGAACTCAACCGAAACTATGTAGGTAATATTTGGAATTGAATCGGCCGTGAGCTCGATGAAAGTAGGTGGCATACGCCGAGTCATCATCCCTCCATCGCAAGGATATCAAAATACGTTTCAAGAGCCTATCCCGCCCAATGTATGTATTCTCTTGAACTACTTTTGGCCTTTGGGGGGTTCTTTTTTTTTTTTTTTTCAAGGATTTTTGGCTATTATTTGAAATTGTTTTAATTTTCAGCAATTAGATTCATTCAAGATATTGAACAGAAAAATATTTGGATAACTGGCAATCAATACACGAAAAGTTCATTGCATTGTCTTGTAAAGCTATAGCTATATTTTTACATTATTTAGTTTCTTATTACCACTTGTTAACTCTGAACTGCAGATTTTTGACAGACAGAGGCTCTTCACGACGATATTCAATCCTACCCGTCTGGCAAATGGGGAAGGTTCGACTTTAGGGACACTCATATTTGATATCGAGCTTATCAGCGTTAGACGGCCATGAATTTTTCACTTTCTACACGGAGATTTTGGCTCGATCACACGAGTTTCGCTAGAGTTGTATTACCAATTTGCATTTGTAAGTTGAGATAATAAGCTTAAGAAGTAAAAGCACACAGAGTTTGGAAGCAGCATTAAGTGTAATTGGATTCAAAAATACATGAAGGGAGAAAAAACAAGATCACTTGCTACCATTACTATTGAACTTCTTCATACAATTGTTCCACAAATCCTTTTTTCTTAAGAGGAAAAAATGAAAAAAAAAATATCTCCATTCAAAAAGATTGTATATATTTGAGTCCACATCTTACTTGTCAAGTGATCAACAATAGGATTTTCCTCCTCTCATAGTCCGCACAGTTGATTTTTTTCCGAACAAAACACTCATATCAAAACTCGAGTTTTTTTACACACATTCGGGTTCTTCATCGCCACACCCAATTTGAATCTCACTTTCCCTCCTCCCTTCAATATGGACGAATTAGACAAACGTACCCTACTGTTCGAATCTCGATTCGTGTCCACACTTTCCTCCCATTTAGCTTCATTTCTCGTTTTCTCCACCGCCGGCCGGCCAGCCGCCGCCTCCGCCGGCGGCAGCCACGCCGGCACGTGCCTCCATCTACCCTCATCACAATAATATCCTCCGAATTTCCTTTTCCGGCCAGGGAAAAAAATCCTCCTTGGCGGCAAGGGCCGGGCAAATGGGATTTCATCGGTAAACTTTACAAACCTGATCAAATCCTTAAAAACGGCCGATGAGAACAGGGAAACTGACCGGACGCTCGACAGGCCCCGGAAACCTTGAACGGAGGCCAAATCCTCGAGTGCGGCAATAATGTCGGCCAGATTCGTCTGAGTCCGGCCGCCCAGATCGGCGGAGGCCGCCGCCAGCTTGGCGGCTGACCGGAGGTACCTGGTGGCGACGTCCGTGAGTAGACAGAGGGCCGAGTTCTGGGCTCCAGTGAAGCCCATCGACTGGCAGGTCTGGGCCACCGCCACGCGGGCCAGTCTATATGAGAATTCGGATTCCGATGGCGGATCCGGCCCTTCAACGGGTCTTGCCATGGCAAAGCAGAACCTTTGCTAACCCTAGATACAGGGTGAAAAGGGGGCAAATTTATGTGAGGGAGTGTNAAATAAATATGGGCTTTGTGGGATTCGAACGCGCGGCTGTTTAGTATAATGGACAACAAAAGTTTGTTCAACTCCTTGAGAAATGAGGGCACCGCCACTAGGCTAATGGGACACGTCTTGGTGGTGTGAGAAGTTTCCAGAGAAAAAATTATAATTGATGAGTTAAGGGCGACAATAAATAAATAGAAAATACAATTATATTTGATTATTTACAAGAAATATTTTATCTAGTAAGTAATAAATTATTTTTTATCTATTAATTAATGCAATGTATATCATTTACCTATACAAAGGATGCTTTCATTTAGAATTATTAAAGATTTTTTAAAATTGTAGAAATTAATTTTTAAAAATCTTGAGATATTTAAATAAGATTTTAAAATGTCTTAAAGTTAGGAGGTATTTAACACTAAGATTTTAGACTTGGTATTTGTCTAAATTAAAAAATAGTTAAAAAATTGAGGGTTATTTTAAATTAAAAAGCATAACAAAGTTTGAAGATTCTCGTAGTCATGTTCATCGCCCTCTTAACATTGATTAATTTTTAATAAATTACATATCATTTCGAAACTAACTCGATCATTTCAACGACACATGTTTAATTTCATCATATGGAATACTTTAAACTTTAATAAATCATTGTTCAAGTTTCAAAATACATCAAAGAAATGAACATTAAGTTTTATTGGAAATCACCGAAGATCCGACCATTGGATTTCGTGATCATATATCATATATGTATAGAAAACTCTTTTTATAAGGAATACAATGACATCTCTCGATCGTCGTTTGGACCTTCCAATAGGAGTAAAAACTTCGGTAAAATTTCTAGATTTGTGACGGCACGTGTTGCCGGGACAAATACTTCAATCCGACGACTTTTGACGACTCAATTGTCCTTTTTTTTATGAATGAGATCGCCATTTATTTCTCTTTTCATGGATACAACATACCTTAATCAATTATTTGTTTGAGTATATATGGATCTTTAATTAAAAGTGTCACTTTCTGCGCATTTTTTTCTTCAATTTTTACTGAAATTTCTGTTTTNAGTGTACCTCATTTATATTAAAAACTACATTAAAATTACGAGTTGTGTGACCCCTTGTGCACCTCGTTTTTACCGTTTGTCGTCCTGACTCAAATTTTAACCCTTTTTTGGCCTATTTCTTGCAAAAACCAACGAAAAAAAATACATCTATTATAAATTAATAAATCAAACAAGATGGTGCACAATCTACTGCAAGTTTCTAGTCCTAACTTTAGATCAACTGTACTTACTAGGATTAACTTTTAGTTTTGTTTTTTTCCAACATGCACATCCATCGATGTTTTTCACCAAACCCAACACAACCCTCCAAATTTCACATCATTTCGAAGTTGGGATGCCCTCCGATTATCTATTGAAAGTCGCACCACATAATGCCAGAAATTTTAGTTCGTGATTCCGACATCGTCCCTTCAAAAAAGACAAGATTCTTCGTGTCGTTGTGCACCTAAACCCCCAACTAATTATGTCATCAGTTTCTGAGATGCCCATCAACGTTTGTTTTGCCGGGTTTCCTTCGTTTTTTCGACATATACATCAACCAAACTAATTAGATTCATCATCTTACTTCGAGTGTAACTACACGCGTCGGTAAAAGCTCCCATCCCCGTGATGGAGATGAGGCGCGTGGAGCTCATGCGCAGGTCATGGTGTTGAAATTTTCAGCGACGACGCGACGAAGGATGCCAAGGAGAATGTCGGGGTGGTGAGAGTCCGTGATTGCCGAAGATGAGCGATGAAAACCAAGCCTACGATTACGCTAACCCTAGTATGAATATATGATACTATGTAAGAATGTGGAAAAAATATATTTCTTATGAAAACATAAAGATGAGTCTCCTTTAGGTTGAGCCTTAATCTAACCCTACAATACATAATACAACTATATAATCAACACAAATAAAACTTAATTTTTGGAAACTTTGCAAGTGTTGATTAAATTAAATTGCAGAACAAAAGACGGTACTAATTTTTCTTGCAAAAATTTCACCTTTTAGTAATTGTACAACACCATACTTTTGAAACCACCAAAATTTATTAGATCAAATACAATATACATATAAACCCACCAGACAGAAAGAAGAAAACCACATGAGGCTGACCAAGATTCAATATCAAAAACACAAATTCTTATAAAAAAAAAACCACACAATAAAATCCAGCCAATTTTCACGCCCACTTGGCCATTAGTGACATTCCTCCGGCTCCCAATAGCACGGCCGCAAACGACTTGACCTGCAGCCTCACGCTCCCCTGCAGCTTCGGGCCCATAAAGTCCGCCGCCAGCAGGTCCACTAGGGCCATGTAAATCAAAAGCCCAGCAGATGACGCGTTGAGCAGGCCCACCGTGATTAGGGCCCGCGGGCTGTTCTCCTTGTAGGTGGTGGACAGTATCATGCCCAGCCCAATCCCGAATGGTGTGGTGACCGCAAAAAAGAAGGCCATGGCTGCCTTCTTGATGGGCTTGTACTCGGCCTGTAAAATGCAGCCGCCGAGGCCCATACCCTCGAACATTTGGTGGAAGCAAAGGGCCGCCACAAGGCCCTTTATCGAGCACGTGTTATTCGAGGCGCCAAGTGAGAGGCCAATCACAATCGAGTGGACTATGATACCAAGCTCTAGTACCTTAGGCCACGTTACGTACGGTTAGTAACAATAATAATAATAATAATTGATATATTGATGTTAATTGTTGATTCGATTCAATATCGCACATTTTGTTCAAGATTTTTAATTTGATTTGATGTGTGTGTACTATTAACTTCTTTTAGTAATATACACCTATATATACTTCAAAGTCAAATGTTCAAATTAATTAGACATTTATAGTGTTTTGACATCAAGATGCATTATGATAATAACGAAACATATATAGTACACACATGAAGACCGTTCATTAGTAGCCATTGTAATAGATTTTCAGTTGGTTGGTATTTCATATTCCCACAAATTCAATTTTTCGGAGCATTCGGATCCAATGATTAAAAGCCCGATGACTTTCACTTTTATGGTGAAAATATGAAAATTTCCCTAATTTTCACCCAAGAAAATGTCTGGAATTGAAAATCGGCATTTTCATTATATTTTTAGCAAATTAATTATATTATCCATGGTTGAGATGAAATAGAAAGGACAAAAGAAAAAAAGAAAGCAGCCAAGTACAATAGGCAGTCATAATTAATCAGAGTAATTTAAACGACTAATTAATATTTTAGAAATATATATGCTTTTATGTGTAACTTGTAACCTTCACTGACCACAAATATATTTCATACGTGTATAACGTATTGACATATATAGGTGCATTAATTATACACTTGAATAAAATAGTTCGGCCAGCTAGCTATTTTTCATAATCAATTCACACTAGTTGATCCTTTCAATGAGAACTTTTAGACAATTTTTAATACGAGCCAAACTCCTTAAGTCTCGTTTCGACTCCACTCAACAATATTATTATACAAAATGCTCGAATTCATTTAATTTTGCTCGATTATAGGCTAAACAGGTATTTAGGCAATTATTCATATATCCAAGCGGAGCAATTGAGCTAATAAATACAAACTCGAGCTCAGTTTGAGGTCAAACTCGACTCCAGCGCTCATTTGCAATTGCAGGATATCAATCGTGCTTAAGTTAAAACAACGTTACATTATTTAATCATCATTTAAAAAAAAAAATTACTCATATATATACACACTAACCATGGCAATCACTCTGTAACGAAGAAGCTGCGACCCGGCGTTGACTTCCGCCTCCTTAACCCCATGACCATGGCCGTGGTGAAAATTCGCGCCGCCGCCTTCCACCGCCGCCATCTCCATATCTCCGGCGGCGGCGGCGGCGGCGGCCTCCGGCAGCACCACGCGGTGCTTCTTCGAGTAGAGACTGGTGGCCATGGAGTCTATCATGAGCGTGATTAGGGCCGAGAGCATGGCCACGAAGCCGGTGAACGGGAACTTGTGCCACGGATTTTCATTCAGGCAGCCGGAGGAGAGCATGTCAAAGGAGTCCGGCAGCACGTGCATGAATCCGGTGGCCAGGATGATGCCGGCGGCGAAGGCCTTCACCACCACGAAGAGGCTCCGGTCGGGGCTCAGGGCCGGAACCCATCGGCTCACCAGCGGCAGGCAAACTCCGATCATGCTCGTCGCCAGTATCGAGACTATGGCGATGATTTTCAGCGGCAAAGCCCGTTTCTTGTCGGTGCAGCCGTCGGCGCCGTCGTCGGCGCCGCCGCATTCCTGGACGACCGACATGACTTGGCCAGAAAAGTTTCCGGCGACGATGAGTAAAAGTATAAGCTTCGGNTAAAAGATAGGATTCGTTGAATAGTAATTTGGCAATGTTTGGACTGCGTAATGTGTGGGAATTTATATAACTGATAAAAGCGAAGTGGTGTGTGTGTGTGTGTGTGAGATTTTTTATTTTTATTTATTTTTTATATCAGGGCGTGTGGAGGGCGAATGGAGATGGTGAGATCGTGGCCGTTGGATTTGGGTGGATCGATTGATAGAGAGTGTGGGGGTGTGTCACTGTGTGTGGAAGTTTGACTTTGCATGGAATTGGAGGTGGGTTGGCGTAGGGTGGACACGTGTCCTGGCAGCTACGTGGCTCGTTGACATTCTACGTGGCCATAAAAGGATAAAGAGGAATAGTCGATAACTATGTCGAGTACTTTTTAGTATCTCCACTCAATATTCTGAAAAGTTCATAGTTGTAAATAATTTGATTGCTATTCACAAAATCAATAATAGAATCTTAATGGGAGGATGTGAAATATAGAAAAAACATTTTTTATAACATAATTTTTATAACGGGTTTGTTAAACTCGTTGAATCTAGAAAAATTAAACGATATTGAACAATAATATACCCAATAAATAGTTTATTATAGAGAAGTATAACCACGATAGATGTTGAATTGATCAATCGCATGACATCATTTTTTTTCTTATCAAAATTTTTCTACTTTCTAGCTAGCTAACTGTATAGTCTGTATTCTTGTTGTTGGAAAATCGTTTTAAGAAATTGACTTGGCCCAATTAAATAAAAATTACATTTATGAGAAATTCATTTTATAAGATGATATATAACATATTATATTTTTAGTTTCCCATAATTCATATAAGGAAACACTAGCAATTACACATCAAGATGCATGAATTGAGAAAGTCCTCTTTAACTAGTTTGGTTTAAAAGAAAGAAACAAGATGATGATTTATGACCTATAAAATGGATTGATATTCACTTTTAGTTATATATAAGGGTCCTCTCACATCTTTTTAGCTTTTTAATTATCAACATGCCTCTTATTTCGATCACTAACAAATTAAATGCCCAATAATTTTTCATTGAAATTCGTATAACCATCCAAATGACATTTGACCATATTTGATGTATGACAATCAACAAACTTATTTTTTTAGGCAATATTAATTGTACATCGACAACATGAACCAATTGAATCAAAATTCTACTCACCATATTTTCTTTTTACAAATTAATACTCTTTCTAGCACATAATTACATTTCTTTCTAACTAGCCATTTTCTATATTTAGCATCGATATTTATCTATTAGCATTTTGGCCACTTTTAATTAGGGATTGTCAACTATGCACAGCTCTTATTAAACCTTAGGATTATTTACATGGTTTGCAATGAGACTTCATTGGCTTTTTTAATCAATACGATTATTCGGAGATGTTGATCTAATTAATTAATGAACATATTTCATATTTTAGTCTTTTTTAGCAAGTATTTATATTTTCGAAGAACTATTTTGCCTGTAGTATTTAAAGGCTTTCAATTATGGGTTGTTGAATTTTACCTCCAAAATAAATTAAAATACAGAGTTCTTTCAAATCTTTGTTTTCCTGCATCATAATGATACTTTACATAATTAAATAGGTTAATGGCATAATTTAAGATGACAATAGTATAGTTTAATGGAGTTTAACCTTGGAGGCATGGGGTTTTAATTTTAACAACCTAGAGTCATATTTATCTAATTAATTGTTCTTATGTAGTTCAAATTGGACAATTGATTATCTTTTTTGGATTGGGTTGGGTACACTCACAACACGTGGACACTAACGTAATTATTTTATTAGATTAACAAAGTAATTACATAATACAATACAGATCAAGATACAACATTTCACTTATCAAGACCAAAACACCCTAACTATGACACTCACACACTTTTATTTAGATTATTGGATGCTTGGATTATTGGGATTATGCTTAGATTCTCTACAAATGAGGTGGTCACCTCTATTTATAGTCACCACCTCCTCTAAGGAATTCTCTAGGAGCCTGCTTGGATACAAAATTTCTCAAAAAAATTCAAACATTTTTAACTCAACCACTTTTTTTTAACTCAACTTTAACTCAACCCAACTATTATCAATATTATCAATATAATTAAATAATATCAATCAATCATTCTTGCACACCACCTTACCTTAATTCACTATTCATCCACTCACATAATTTTAACTAACAATCACTTCAAATCTTCACTCTCCTACTTTATATCAAATCAACTTTAATCATTTTATTTTAAATATTATTCTAATATACCCACTAACAACTAACCATATCAACTTTTTCAAAATTAACCAAACCAAACAAAAAAATCCAAATAAAATCAAAATTTTTTATATCCAATCATCCTGATAATGTCTTGGACATTCTAGATACTTCTACAAAGCTCCTACACACATATCCCTACTACAATTCTCTACAATATTTAGGAAGGCTTTAGAAGTCTCCACATTACTCTCAAAGGTTCCACATGCTTCTAGATCCTTCTACAATATTCTGGAACCTTCCACATTTTTTTGGGTCGTTCTAGATGCTTTTGGGACCTTTCACAATGTTTCACGACGTTCCACATTTTTCCGAATTGTTCTAGATGCTTCCGAATCCTTCCAAAAAGAGATGTTAGATATTTTAACATTTTGTGCCTAACATTCAGATTACTATGGTACCCATTCGGCCCTAGTCGTGGGTAGTATCCCTGTTCTGAATTTTACATATATAGTTAGCTGTATTTCTAAAGTTTAATAATGTGATGACGTTATAAGATATTCCAAATTATTTAAAAATAAATATGGCAAACGGCCGTGTTCATGATGCTGAGAATTTATAATATTAATTTACAGGATGTCAAAGTCTCCTCTACGGGTCTAGTGGCTTTCAGTGGTCCGTATCATACACTATCATTAAAACCAACCTGACTTTTTGGAACTTGCAATTATTATTTTCTCATTATTTTAGTTTCAGTTTGTGTCTTCTTTCACATTTTTCATTCCAATCTTTATGGGGATGTCATATCATAAAATGGTGGATGAATCTTACATCTAATTTATTGACAAAACAATTCATTATTTTATGAAACAAAATGTATTTGCACAATTAACACATGAATGAGAAGGGGCTGCAGCTACGAGTGTTCCCCTCACCTTGAATTTTAGAATATACTGTACTTCTTAGAAAATCTTGCACTAATTTATAAAATAAAGATAATTAAAAGTATCTAGAT